CCGCGGGGACACGGACAGAGGTACAGCGGGGACACGGGCGCTTGTCGGGGGTACCGCGAGGACACGGCCGGGCTGCGAGGGACCGACCGGCCGTCAGCTCCGCTCTGCTCCGCGCATCCCCGCGGGAATCCGCTCCGGWGGTGGCGGCTTGCGGGGCTCTGCGGGCGCTGCGGCAACTCCGGCGCTGCGGCAGCGGGAGGCGGGGGGAGCCCCGGCCGAGCGGCTCCGGGAGGCAGCGGGGATCGTCCTGCGGGTCCTTCCTGGGTGTCTGTCCCTTGCGGAGGGAGGCTCTGCCCCCGCATCCCCCGGCACAACCGCTGAGGGTGCCCAGGGTTGTGAGAGAACAGCCGAGGGACAGTTCGGGGTCCAGCGAAGGCTGAACCTCAGCAGCTGTCGGAGCAAACGGACCGAGCTGCTGGTTCGGGCTGCCGCAGGACCCGATGGAATATCTTCTTTTCCTCCCGTGTGTTTCAGGTGAAAGAAGAATTCTTGGTAAACCACGTTAAAGCCCAGGCTGTCCAAATGCCCGCTCCCACCCTCCAGCCTGCCCAGCTCCGTGAGTAACCTTAACTGGGAACCCGCTGTTACTCTGAGCAAGAGCTGTGCTCGCCTCGTGCTGCTGGGTGAGAAATTCTTCTTCTGGAGGAGGAGGACGGCAGTGACACTTGAAGCCTGCTGGAATCGCTGGCTGTCCTGGCARAGAGCCCGCAGGAGCCTTCGGACTGGAGCTCTGCAGAGGGACGGTGCCGCTGGAGGAGGTGGCAGAGCCCTGGTAGCCAGAAGAACCTTTCTGAGTGGCTTTTAGAGCCACCTCGAAAAGCCAGATCTGTGCTTCAGCATCCCTTTAAGCTTCTGCCTTCTTTCCTTCACCTGGTTTTATCCCTGCTCCATCACAGCAGCCGTGCTGCTGGAAAAAAACAACTGGGAAAAGATGCACTAAGGCGTCACAGACCGAGGGAGGAAAGCTGGGATCCTGCCCCGGTGGCTGCTGCACCGCCCAGCGCTGGAGAGGAGYGGAGCCAGAGGCAACTGCTGCCATTCCCAGCTCCTGCCGTGTCCCCGTGCTCGCTGTCCCCCGTCCCTGGACTCCTCTTGATGGGGATCTCTGCCGCAGGATCCGGCTCTGCGGTGGCGGGCGGGCGCGCAGGGGTGGCAGAGGTCGCTCCCCGATGCTGGAAAGGCCGCTCGGATAAGCTGCTGGCAGAAGATCCCTTGTGGAGCAGCTGCTGGCTGTAGGCCCAGCGAGCCAAGGGTCAGCAAAGCCTGGCCTGCAGCATGACTTCCAAGCTGGAGCAGAAGGAGCCCCCCCAGGCCAACGGGGCCGTGGTGCCCGGRGAGCGSCCGGCCGGCCCGGAGCCCGCGGATTTCCTGGGGGCTGACGGCGCCGGGGTGGAGGTGGTGGTGCTGGAGTCGCGGGCCAACGCCAAAGGGGTGAGGGAAGAGGATGCCCTGCTGGAAAATGGCAGCCAGAGCAATGAGAGCGATGACACCAGCACGGAGCGGGGCCCTGAGCCTGCCTCRCCCCTCAAGGAGACCTCCTTCTCCATCGGCCTCCAGGTGCTCTTCCCGTTCCTCCTGGCYGGCTTTGGGACCGTGGCTGCTGGGATGGTGCTGGACATTGTGCAGGTAAAGCTGGGGCTTTCCTGGTTCGGGATTCCTTTGTGGAATGTTGGAATTGAGGGGTGGGCTTGGTTCCCTCGTGTGCTGGCCARGGAGGGGGAGCCCTCAGGGCTGTGTGGGGTGAGGGAAGGAAAGGCTGAGGAAGCTCCTGCACGGCCCTGGCTTGGGGGAGAGGGTGCAGCTGGAGCCTGGGGACTGTCACCACCCTGTGTGTGACAGTTTGGGATAAATCCCTTCCCTGCTGGTGGTTGGGGACACCCCAGCCTCAGGGACCGGTTCCTCCTGTCCCTCTCCAGCTGCTCTCTCTGGTCCCTCTCCCTTAGGAGCTGCTCCCTCCTCTCCCTCTCGCTCAGGAGCTGTTCCTTCCTCTCCCTCAGGGGCTGCTTCCTTCTCTCCTTCTCCCTCAGAAGCTGCTCTCTGTTCCCTATTCCTCAGGAGCTGCTCTCTCGTGTCCCTCTTCCTCAGGGACTGCTCCCTCTGGTCCCTCTCCCTCAGGGGCTGCTCCCTCCTCTCCCTCTCCCTCTCCCTCTCCCTTCTCCCTCTCCCTCTCCCTTCTCCCTCTCCCTTCTCCCTCTCCCTTCTCCCTCTCCCTTCTCCCTCTCCCTTCTCCCTCTCCCTCTCCCTCCCCCTCTCCTTCTCCCTCAAAAGCTGCTCCCTTCTCTCCCTCAGGAACTGCTCTCTCTGGTCCCTCTGTCTCCGAAGCTGCTCCCTCCTGTCCCTCTCCCTCACGAGCTGCTCTCTCTGTTCCCTCTCCCCCAGGAGCTGCTCCCTCCTGTCCCTCTCCCTCACGAGCTGCTCTCTCTGTTCCCTCTCCCCCAGGAGCTGCTCCCTCCTGTCCCTCTCCCTCCTTTCCCTTTCCCTCAGGAACTGCTCCCTCCCATCCCTGTGCCCCCCATGCTGTTCCAGGCTCCCCTCAGCCCTGTCCATGTCCCCTCTCAGTGGTTCCCAGCGCTTCCTGCGCCTCCTCCTCGTGCTCCCGAGGCACCCAGGGGTGCCAGGGCTCAGTTCATCCCGGGAATTTGTGAGGGTGATCCTTGGCAAAGGCACCCTCAGAATACAAAGCGAGGTGTCCCCGTGAGGCTGTGGGAACGCGCCAGCCTGGCTGGGGGAGTTTCCATGTGGGAATTGTGCCCTCCTGGGCCGCTCTCTGCCACGTTCTCCACCCGTGCCTGGCACCAGATCAGCTCCTGAACGCCAGGCTGGGCAGAGCTGTGGGGTTCCCATCCCTGAGGCCTCAAACCGGGATCATCCTGAGCTTTGTGGGGTTCTGGGACAGGGCTGCAGCAGGCCCCAAACTTAGATTACCCTGAGCTTTTTGGGGTTCCTAGGACAGGGCTGCAGCAGGCCCCAAACTGAGATTACCCCAAGCTTTTTGGGATTCCTGGGATGGGGCTGCAGCAGGCCCCAAACTGGGATCATCCTGAGCTTTATGGGGTTCCTGGGACAGGGATGCAGCAGGCCCCAAACTGGAATGGTCCCCACCTTTTTGGGGTTCCTGGGATGGGGCTGCAGCAGGCCCCAAACCGAGATTACCCCAAGTTTTGTGGGGTTCCTCTGATGAGGCTTCAGCAGGCTCCAAACCGGGATCATCCCAAACTTTGTGGGATTCCTGGGACAGAGCTGCAGCAGGCCCCAAACTGGAATTGTCCCCATCTTTTTGGGGTTCCTGGGATGGGGCTGCAGCAGGGCCCTAAACGAGATTACCCCAAGTTTTGTGGGGTTCCTCTGATGAGGCTCCAGCAGGTTCCAAACCGGGATCGTCCCAAACTTTGTGGGGTTCCTGGGACGAGGCTGCAGCAGGCCCTAAACTGGGTTCATCCCGATCTTTTTTGGGTTCCTGGGGAGGAGCTGCAGCCGCTCTGGAGCTGTGGCAGCCCCAAAAGCTCTGCTGGGAGCTCCTGGCCATGCTGGGGCGAGTAAACAAACCAACCCTGCTGCTGCTGCTGTGGGCAGGGAGAGGCTCCAGTGTCAGCCCAGCCCCATGCCGGGAACTCACAGGGGTTTTTTTTTGGATTTGTGGKTTTTTTKGGGATTTGTGGGTGGCCAGGCAGCGCCGTCCTGCCCACAGCAGCGATTTGCCCGCGTGCCTTTGCGCTCTGGTCACCCTCGTGGCCTCTCTTGGCGGAACCTGCCCGGACAGCTGGGGAGTGACTCCAAACAGGAAAGGCTGAATTAATCCGGGGGAATTTACCGGAATCGTTTTCTGGAAAAGGACATTTCAGGCATGTTTTGCCTTCACAAGGTCCCAGCTGCTTTCTGTGGGCACTGGGGGACCCCTGGCACAGCCCCTGTCCCAGCAGAGCCCTGAGCGTTGCTTTCCAGCCCCCTGGAGGGTCTTTAGATGGGCTGGAAGGAGGGAGGGTGCTCCTTTTCCCTCCCGTCCTGAACTTAAATTCTCATTTCCTCTTCTCTATCTATTCTGGGCTCTTTTGGGTGGTTTTTTTTTGTATTTTTTTGGATTGGTTTGTTTTGGTTTTGATTTTCTCTTGTTGTCATTTTTGTTTGGTTTTTATTTTTGATTGGGGTTTTTTGTTTGAGGTTTTTTTTGGGTGTTTTTTGTTCTTTGCTTTCATGGGGTAGTGTTTTTTGGGTTTTTTTTGTTTTTTGCTTTTGGGGTTTTTTTTGGGAGGGGGGGCTGTTTGTTTTAGTTTTGGGTTTTTTTGAGCTCTGTTCCCTGCAGCAGCCCCACAGCCCCACAGACACCCAGCATTGTGTAACACCTCACATTAACAGAGCTGGCAGGAGTGAGGGAGCNTTTATGGGGTTCCTGGGACAGGGCTGCAGCAGGCTCCAAACTGAGATTACCCCGAGCTTTTTGGGGTTCCTGGGACTGGGCTACAGCAGGCCCCTAACTGGAATTCTCCCCAGCTTTTTGGGGTTCCTGGGACAGGGCTGCAGCAGGCCCCAAACTGGGATCATCCCAATCTTTTTGGGGTTCCTGGGACAGGGCTGCAGCATGCCCCAAACTGGAATTGTCTCGATCTTTTTGGGGTTCCTGGGACAGGGCTGCAGCAAGCCCCAAACTGAGATTACCCTGAGCTTTTTGGGGCTTCTTGGACAGGGCTGCAGCAGGCCCTAAACCAGGATCATCCCAAGCATTTTGGGGTTCCTGGGACAGGGCTGCAGCAGGCCCCAAACTGAGATTACCCCGAGCTTTTTGGGGTTCCTAGGACAGGGCTGCAGCAGGCCCCAAACTGAGATTACCCTGAGCTTTTTGGGATTCCTGGGATGGGGCTGCAGCAGGCCCCAAACCGGGATCAACCCAATCTTTTTTGGGGTTCCTGGGACAGGGCTGCAGCAGACCCTAAACTGGGTTCATCCCGATCTTTTGGGGCTCCTGGGATGGGGCTGCAGCAAGCCCCAAGCTGGAATTGTCCCCAGCTTTTTGGGGTTCCTCTGATGAGGCTGCAGCAGGCCCCAAACCAAGATTACCCTGATGTTTTTGGGGTTCCTGGGATGGAGCTGCAGCAGGCCCCAAACCAGGATCATCCCGATCTATTTGGGGTTCCTGGGACGGGGCTGCAGCAGGCCCCAAACCGGGATCATCCTGAGCTTTTTGGGGTTCCTGGGACGGGGCTGCAGCAGGCCTTAAACTGGGTTCATCCCGACCTTTTTGGAGTTCCTGGAGTGGAGCTGCAGCCACTCTGGAGCTGTGGCAGCCCCAAAAGCTCTGCTGGGAGCTCCTGGCCATGCTGGGGCGAGTAAACAAACCAACCCTGCTGCTGCTGCTGTGGGCAGGGAGAGGCTCCAGTGTCAGCCCAGCCCCATGCCGGGAACTCACAGGGGTTTTTTTTTGGATTTGTGGKTTTTTTKGGGATTTGTGGGTGGCCAGGCAGCGCCGTCCTGCCCACAGCAGCGATTTGCCCGCGTGCCTTTGCGCTCTGGTCACCCTCGTGGCCTCTCTTGGCGGAACCTGCCCGGACAGCTGGGGAGTGACTCCAAACAGGAAAGGCTGAATTAATCCGGGGGAATTTACCGGAATCGTTTTCTGGAAAAGGACATTTCAGGCATGTTTTGCCTTCACAAGGTCCCAGCTGCTTTCTGTGGGCACTGGGGGACCCCTGGCACAGCCCCTGTCCCAGCAGAGCCCTGAGCGTTGCTTTCCAGCCCCCTGGAGGGTCTTTAGATGGGCTGGAAGGAGGGAGGGTGCTCCTTTTCCCTCCCGTCCTGAACTTAAATTCTCATTTCCTCTTCTCTATCTATTCTGGGCTCTTTTGGGTGGTTTTTTTTTGTATTTTTTTGGATTGGTTTGTTTTGGTTTTGATTTTCTCTTGTTGTCATTTTTGTTTGGTTTTTATTTTTGATTGGGGTTTTTTGTTTGAGGTTTTTTTTGGGTGTTTTTTGTTCTTTGCTTTCATGGGGTAGTGTTTTTTGGGTTTTTTTTGTTTTTTGCTTTTGGGGTTTTTTTTGGGAGGGGGGGCTGTTTGTTTTAGTTTTGGGTTTTTTTGAGCTCTGTTCCCTGCAGCAGCCCCACAGCCCCACAGACACCCAGCATTGTGTAACACCTCACATTAACAGAGCTGGCAGGAGTGAGGGAGCTGCTAAACACTGCAGAAACCTCCTCATTTCCTTCCCAAAGATTCCTTTCTTTTTTCCTTTCCTTTCCTTTCCTTTCCTTTCCTTTCCTTTCCTTTCCTTTCCTTTCCTTTCCTTTCCTTTCCTTTCCTTTCCTTTCCTTTCCTTTCC